GAGGGTTGTCTTTTCGTCTTGTTTATGGTTTCCTTTGCTGTGCAAAAGCTTTGAAGTTTCATTAGGTCCCATTTGTTTATTTTTGTTTTTATTTCCATTTCTCTAGGAGGTGGGTCAAAAAGGATCTTGTGTGATTTATGTCAGAGTGTTCTGCCTGTGTTTTCCTCTAAGAGTTTGATAGTGTCTGGCCTTACATTTAAGTCTTTAATCCATTTTGAGTTTAGTTTTGTGTATGGTGTTAGGGAGTGTTCTAATTTCATTCTTTTACATGTAGCTGTCCAGTTTTCCCAGCACCACTTATTGAAGAGGCTGTCTTTTCTCCACTTTATATTCTTGCCTCCTTTATCAAAGATAAGGTGACCATATGTGGATGGGTTTATCTCTGGGCTTTCTATCCTGTTCCATTGATCTATCTTTCTGTTTTTGTGCCAGTACCATACTGTCTTGATTACTGTAGCTTTGTAGTATAGTCTGAAGTCAGGGAGCCTGATTCCTCCAGCTCCGTTTTTCTTTCTCAAGATTGCTTTGGCTATTCGGGGTCTTCTGTCTTTCCATACAAATTGTGAAATTTTTTGTTCTAGTTCTGTGAAAAATGCCAGTGGTGGTTTGATAGGGATTGCATTGAATCTGTAGATTGCTTTGGTTAGTAGGGTCATTTTCACAGTGTTGATTCTTCCAATCCAAGAACATGGTATATCTCTCCATCTGTTTGTATCATCTTTAATTTCTTTCATCAGTGTCTTATAAGTTTCTGCATACAGGTCTTTTGTCTCCTTGGGTAGGTTTATTCCTAGATATTTTATTCTTTTTGTTGCAGTGGTAAATGGGAGTGTTTTCTTAATTTCACTTTCAGATTTTTCATCATTAGTATATAGGAATGCCAGAGCTTTCTGTGTATTTTGTATCCTGCTACTTTACCAAATTCATTGATTAGCTCTAGTAGTTTTCTAGTAGCATCTTTAGGATTCTCTATGTATAGTATGTCATCTGCAAACAGTGACAGTTTTACTTCTTTTCCAATTTGGATTCCTTTTATTTCTTTTTACTCTCTGATTGCTGTGGCTAAAACTTCCAAAACTATGTTGAATAAGACTGGTGAGAGTGGGCAACCTTGTCTTCTTCCTGATCTTAGTGGAAATGGTTTCAGTTTTTCACCATTGAGGACGATGTTGGCTGTGGGTTTGTCATATATGGCCTTTATTATGTTGAGGAAAGTTCCCTCTATGCCTACTTTCTGGAGGGTTTTTATCATAAATGGGTGTTGAATTTTGTTGAAAGCTTTCTCTTCATTGATTGAGATGATCATATTGTTTTTCTCCTTCAATTGGTTAATATGGTGTATCACATTGATTGATTTGTGTATATTGAAGAATCCTTGCATTCCTGGGATAAACCCCACTTGATCATGGTGTATGATCCTTTTAATGTGCTGTTGGATTCTGTTTGCTAGTATTCTGTAGAGGATTTTTGCATCTATGTTCATCAGTGATATTGGCCTGTAGTTTTCTTTCTTTGTGACATCTTTGTCTGGTTTTGGTATCTGATGGTGGCCTCATAGAATGAGTTTGGGAGTGTTCCTCCCTCTGCTATATTTTGGAAGAGTTTGAGAAGGATAGATTGTTAGCTCTTCTCTAAATGTTTGATAGAATTCTCCTATGAAGCCATCTGGTCCTGGGCTTTTGTTTGTTAGAAGATTTTTAATCACAGTTTCAATTTCAGTGCTTGTGATTGGTCTGTTCATATTTTCTATTTCTTTCTGGTTCAGTCTCGGAAGGTTGTGCATTTCTAAGAAATTGTCCATTTTTTCCAGGTTGTCCATTTTATTAGCATATAGTTGCTTGTTCAATTATTTTTGAATCACTCTATATATTATTATGTTTATTAAATTTTATATAAATGCTTTAATATTGTACCTTTATAAATTTTTGATATCTAACTCATTAATTTATATACAATATTATGTTTTAAGAATATACTACAATGGGCTTCCCTGGTGGCGCAGTGGTTGAGAGTCCACCTGCCAATGCAGGGGACACAGGTTCGTGCCCCGGTCTGGGAAGATCCCACATGCCGCGGAGCGGCTGGGCCTGTGAGCCATGGCCACTGAGCCTGCGCCTCCAGAGCCTGTGCTCCACAACGGGAGAGGTCACAACAGTGAGAGGCCCGTGTACCACAAAAAAAAAAAAAAGAAAGAATATACTACAATTTAAAAATTCCACTTCCTTATTTATGGACATTTAAGATTTTCTCATTTTTCCTCATTTTAAACAATGCTGCTACAAACATCATTGGGCACTTGAGGAAAAGTTTCTCTAAGGTATATGTCTAAAAGAATTGCCGATTTATAGAATGTGTGTGTGTGTCTTAACTAGGTATTGCCATATTGCTCTCCAAAGCTATAACAGTTTACTTCATTGCCAGTAAAGATCTCTGTATCTCCAAATCCTCACCAACACTTGGTATTGCCTGATTTAAAAATTTTTGCCAATCTGGTGGTTGTGAAATGGTATCTCATCATTAATTCATTTTGCATTTCCTTGACTAAGTTTCTTACCAATTCAGTAGACTTTTAGATGTCCTCTTTATTTAACTGCTTGTTCATCTCTTTTGCCCACTGCTTTTAAAATAGCATTATTTGTCTCTTACTGATTTGCAGTAGTCTTTATGTATTCTAGATATTAATCTCTTAATGATTATATGTGTCGCTGATATCTTTATAGTCAGTGAATTTTTTAACCATGATTTTGATGATTTGTCTAGAGATTAACATTTTTAACGTCATCACATTTGTCAAAGTTCCCCTTATGGTTTGTATATTTTATATCTTGATCAAGAAAACCTTGAGATTATAAAGGTATTCCATGCTTTCATCCAAAAATTTCAAAGTTTTGCTCTTTACATTTAGGTCTCTTATCTGCAATTTATTTTTGTGGAGGTAGAAATCTAATTTTTTTCCCATTTGAAAAGTCATTTGTCCCAAAACTATTTATTCACTGATCCATTCTTTTTCTTTTGTCACTCAATTTCCTTTATTTATGTATGCATATATTTCTTGTCTCTCTATTCTGTGTAATCTGTGTCTTCTTACACCAATGCCCTATTGTTTTTAACGTCTTGATATATCTGGTAAAAATATCCCCCCTTCTTCAAAATTCTTTTTTCTTTCTTCAGAATTATCTTGACTCTTCTCAATCCTTTACTGCTCTTTGTGAATTTTAGGGTCAACTTGTTCATTCCATAAGAAACATATAACAATAAAAAAATTGTCTCAAGATTTTGTTTCAAATTGCAATGAATTTATAGATTAATTTGGAAAGAAGTGGCATTAAATGGCTTTGAGTCTTACTGTCTATATGTATTTCTCTATTTAGGTCCTTTTTATGTCCTTCAGTAAAGTTTTATACTTTTCTCCCTAAAAGTTCTTTTCTTAAAAGTTTATTGAGGTATAATTTACATACCATAAACTTCACCCTACTCTAAAATTCTTGCATATGTGTTGTTAGATTTATTACTAGGTACCTTTTAGTTTTTATCATGAGGTACCTTACAGTTATTGTGAATAGCATCTTCGCTTTCTAAAATTTTTGTAACCGGACTTTATTTTTAAAGGATTGGGGACTTTTTATTTTCTATCACAAAATAGGATAGGAGGTAACCCTCATTGCAACATATGATGGTAATGAAAAGGAGATGTATAAGCCTAGTCCCAGGAGTCTGAAGCAGATAAAAGGGTGACAAGGAACCCTCCAAATCTGAGACTTGTTTCTAAGTGTTCACACCAGCAGAAAGGAGGCCTGTTTTTAACCCCTCCCTTCACATTCAGTTTATAGTTGACACCACTCTATTCGTACATTCAAGCATTCATTCACTTATTCATATTCTTTTAAATTAAAATATGGGGTTCTTGCTGTATACTAAGATCTGTGCTAGGCATTTGGGATTAAATTTTTTAACTTGTAAAATTAGATTTTATAAAAGAGTGTTGTGAGGAGGACACAAAAAAGGCTAGTTGACTAACTTCTCAACTAGGCTATCCAAAAAATGTAGCACTTTACAAAGCTCTTTCACACATATTTTTATATTTAGTCATCATAGCAATCCTTAATCATTTTTATAGATAGCGAAGGTTAAGTAACTTTGAGTGGTATGGTTTTTGACAAAAAATAAGATTTAACTATAAAATGACATGATTAAGTTTTTATTGCTTATAAATTGCTTCTGATTTTTATTCCTTTTATATACAGCTCATAATCATTTTTTTTTGTTTTTTCTTACAGAAACATTTAATTAAAGACTATAGAGTAAACACAATGTCTTAAGATCATAATCATTTATATTTAGTCTTCTTTGAGCACTGTATAGAAGGGCATTGTATAAAGAGATACCTGTCTCCATATTTTACAAAAGAATACTGTGTGAAAACCACTAAGAAGGCAGTGACTAAACACAAAATGTGTATTTCCTCTTCCTAACACCAAGACAGCCATCTTAGTTTGTAGGTAGCCCGTGTGCATTGTTACTTGTTAATGATAAGTGAAAGCTTCTGATAGGCAAACTCTGAGAAATTTATATGGGACAGAAATTGAAGACATAAAGGAAATCTGCAGTGATTAATCAACAGTGACTTAAATTTTTACTCGTAGAATTACTTTTCATTTCAATTTTTACTCTTAGAATTACTTTTCATTTCAGTTTCAAAGATGTTCTCTTCAAGATTCTGGTCACTTGGTCTTACTTTTTACATCCTTCCAGACACATTGGAATGTATTAGAAGGCTATGGCATCTATACAAGGTTAATAATCTGAAGCTTTTCTTCAGTGTGTAGTCTAGGATTTGGAATATGATCCTCATGAAAGACAGAAAACACTTTCTCTTCACTAGAAAAGTTTCAGAGAGGAAATATTACTCAAACTAAACAGATTTAGTAAATAAAGCTGAAATTGGCATTTCTCCCAGGTATGAATAAAAAAGTCATTTAATTTTTTTCATTTTATTTTAGTCACTGTATATATGCCTTGTTTCCTGGGTCCACGGGAAGCATGAGCCTGTTGGGACTTGGGACAAGAAGAAAACAAGACATCTGCACAAGGAAAACCAGACACTAACAAAAAGTATCCCAAAGTCTGAAGAGATAAAACGCAAACATGACTGACAGAGGACTTAGGGATCCTCCAGAGGGTAAGACTAGTTTGTACAACACTAGGTTTGTGCTGTAGGAAACTAGGGCTGTGCTAGAGAAAAAGTCTCTGGTGACTAAAACTGAAGTTTGGAAGTAAAAAAGAAATTAACTTAATTGCTTAATTTGTTATGATTCCTATTCTTTGATATTTACTGAATTTTACCATAATACCAGACCCTAATTATGAAAAGAGTTATATTTTAGAGACTCCCATAGTAGGAACCTATAGTATTGGAAAAATTACAATGCATCTTAAAAAAAGATGGTAGACAGATCTTTAGAGTTACATTTTTAAAAATCAGGTAAGCTATATGCTATATATTTAGAGGGGGATCTTTCAGTTATAAGGAAAGATGAAATTTAAATTCTTCATCCTACTTACGTGTATGTGTCTATATATATATATGATATAAAATAGGCAAAATATGAAGTAGGTTTTTCAGAAGAGAAGGGTATATTTAAATATTTTATTAAGGATATTTTTAAATATATGAAAGTAGAACAGTATAATGAAGTCCCATGTACTCAAAATCTAACTTCAACTTTTACCTACCTAATAGTACTCTTGCTGCCTGCCTTGGAATAGTTAAATGCAAACCCAAGACATTATATCATTTTATTTGTCAATACTTCAGTTTACATCTCTTAAAGATAGATTTAAAAACTAAAAAAAAGAACCAAAATAGCATTATCACACCTAAAAAATAAATTAGTAGTTATTCCATGCTGTCATCATATATACAGCCAGTATTCACATTTCCCCCATTGTCTCATAATTTTTTTTTTCTTCACTGTTGGGTTTTTAAATTCTTTTTTCTTTACATTTGGGCCACATACTGCATTTGATTGATACATCTTTTTGGTTGCTCTTTTTTTTTTAAGCTTTATTATGGAAAATTTCAAACATATAAAAGTAGAGAGAGGAAATGAATCTCATGTACCCATCAAACAGCTTCATCTGCTGTCAACATATGGCTAATGTGGTTTCATTTATACTCCCTTACTTCTCCTTACCCCCATATCATTGAGCTGAAGCAAATTCTAGGTGTCACATAATTTTAGCCATAAATACTTGAAACTTATCTCTAAATGATAAGGATTTCTTTGTAAAAACACTATCACAATACCTTTATCATAAATAGAAGATGAACAATAATTCCTGAGTCTCATCAAATATCTGGTGTTCAAAGTTTTCTGATTATATCATAAATATTTCTTTAACAACTGGTTTGCAGGACAGTGAATCTAAACAGTGTGGTCCACACATTGTTGATGTATTCAAGTACCTCTTAATCAATAGGTTACTCCTTTTTTTTTCTTGCCATTTATTTTTATTTCCTGCTGTTATTAAATAAACAAAGTCTTTTGTCCCTTAGAATTTCCCTCATTATGGGTTTTGCTGATTACATTCCTGAGGCATAATTTAATGTATCCCTCTATCCCTGTGTTTCTTGGAAACTGGTAGTTAGCTCTAGAAGCTTGATCAGATTCAGATTCAGTTTGGCAAGAATACTTCATAAGTGGTATGGTGTACTTCCTATTGCATTGAATTCGGGAGGTTATAGTAATGTCTGGTTTTCCTTCTTTTTGTGGTGTTAAGATTGATCAGTGGGTTCAGCAGTTGTCAGTCTCATTCATCTCGTTCATAAAATTCCTCATTATCCTTTTGCATAATGGTTTTAGTTGCTGTTGATGATTATTGCCTAGGTCTGTTATTTCATTAGGGAAGAGGATGTATTTAATACTACCAAAAATTGGTTTGTCATTCAAAATAGTTTTACATTCATATTACTTGTTAGATTAACATGATAGTGAATTTGTTTAATCAGTCACCTTTAGTGAAAATCAAGAGAAGTAATGTTTAGGAAGAGTGCCTCATAAGCCATAAAAATCTATATAAATATTTTTATTAATCAGGGACCTTGTTAAAATACAAAAATATAGGGAAATTTTTTAAATAAAAATTACAAATTTTTATCTCAATAGACCCTCAAAAGGATTTGGAAAATGATCCATCAATAAATTGTCAGGCACAGGAGACTACAGTGACAGCAAGTCCCACTGAAGAAGCTCAGACCCCAAACCCTGCCTCTGGTCTTAACAAAGACCACCAAGAGGTAGCATCAGTTGGTCCAGGAAGTACAGATACAGATGATCAATCAGAAAGTCCAGATGAAACAGATGATAGGAAATATCCAAAGGATACAGAAGGTGAGAACAGCCAGAGTTTCCAGGGTGGAGAACAAGGGCATCCGCTCCCTTCAGAAAGTCTGGGTGAAGACCTCTTGGATCCAGAACCCAACTGTTCTCCAAGTGACAAGGTGGGAAGAACAGACGCACACTTAGTGAGCAGCTCTGCAGCCCTCCCTGAGCATGTGAGCGACAGACCCGGAGCTTTGCAGGAGCCACCTGTCCTTGACCCTCAGGATACCCAGAGTCCTGGGCATTCCAGTGCAGGGCTGGAGAGCCAGGACACACTGAGGAAGCGACTGCCGGCACCAGGTGAGAGAACCCCTGAGCTTGTCCTGTTTTGTACTACTGTTCTTTTCAGAGAACTTCTCTTTCCTTCATAGGATTAAGGCCTTTGCACCTTGCCCAAAGTCACATAAAGAGATATAACTGACTTGAGATTAGAATGAGGTTTCTCATATCCTAAACTAGCTCATTCCACTACATTAAGTTGCTTCCCACACATAAGCTGCATTTTTTAACGGTTTTTATTTATTTGCTGTCTGTATTAATCCAGTATGATTTTTTTTAAAGGCATGACTTTTAAAAAATTTACCTCTGGCTTTTTCTTTATTTCTAATGAGCATATCTTCACTTTCACTTTTTAAAATCTTTTACTTTGGGGGAAACTAAATGCTACATAAATCAAGAGATAGGTATATTTAAAAACCAACATCAGTGGTATAGGACCCTTAACTCAGTCATCTTTCAGTTTTATAGGACTTTAAGCAGATTAATTTTTCTATACCTGATTTTCCCCACTTGTATATTAAGGAGAACAGCATCGTATCATTCCTTACAAAGATAATAGTTGGAATGTGCAAGGTCTTTACACGGGAACTCAAGAGATGTGGATTCTAGTTGTGGCCCTACCACTTCCTAACTTGGGTGAACTTAGGCATCTCTCAACTTCCTGGTACTTCAGTTTCCTATTTGCAGACTGAAGAAGTAGGACAAGATGCTATCCAGCTGGTCTCTTCCAGCTTTTTTTACCTTCTGTGATTTTATGGATTTGGACTGTGTGGATTTGTATTTTATAAGTACTCTGAAAGCTCAGTCTGAAATGCCTATTTGCCAGAGCAAAGAAATATAAGACATTCTGTTCATCAGGGACTTGACTAAGGGCTACAATTCCATGTTTCACCATAAGTCAATGTCTGGTCTCAAATATATGTTTCATTAGTTAATATTAGAATAGTCTGTAACTTCAGGGAAGGCAAGGGCTATGTCTCTCTCATTTACTGTGTTTCTGTGGCACTTGGCACAGAGAAGTGACTTTATGAATATTTGTTAAGTGAATGAATGGATATGATTTGTATGGACCACTATCTGCCATCAGACTTTCACCGGTATGCAGGGTCACTGAGTAGAGGAAGAAAATACTGTTTTAAAAATGCAGTTTATGTGTGGGAAGTAACATAATATAATGGAATGAGCTAATCTAGGAAATGAGGAACCTCATTCTAATCTCAGCTTGGCCATGTCTCTTTATGTGACCTTGGGCAAAGCCCTTAACATCCCTGGACCTTTTGTCACAATAGGTGAAGTAGGGGGCTACAGTAGGTGATCATTAAAGATCCTTTCAGTCCTTAAATTCTGTGACATGATATTTTAAAAACCCGTGTTTTGGTGTGATATAACTAAATGAACTATCGTTTATAGGTGAGGATGACTCTACTTCTTTATGTTAATAGAGTATGTTATTTGAGTTATTTCTCCAGTAAGGGTTATGGGCAGTAGTCAGCTTTCATTGTTATATGAGGTACTTGGCTGGGGTCAAGCACACATCTAGACTCTAGAGTGACTTAGCTCAGAGTCTACAAAATACCGCCCTCCTTTTCACCCACACATTTTATGATTGGTGTCTCACCCCACACCTACATTTTTATATAGTTCATAACTTTTCTTAACCTTGTATTCCTTGCTTTGTATACCTCGTTCACTAAGTTTCAAGCTTGCTTTTGTAAGCTATTTTGCAAAGGTAAGCTATTACTGTACAGTAATCTCTCCTGTCTCTAAACTTAATGTCTCTGTTATTAGTATATTAGGGGGTCTTCAGGAGCCTTTTGAGATGTGAACACTGGAATTAGAGCATCATTGCCCTGTGATGTTGAGTCTTGTGTACATTATTTCTTAAATCCCTTCTTAAATCACATGTTAGATACGTTTGGCTGCAATATTAGGATGCTTGTTTCTTTGTCCTTGATGTAAGAGCCAGTGAAGGATTGTGGGTGTAGCAACACTATCCTGAAGTGAATTTCACAGCATTTCATTTTATTCTAAGTAGAACAAAGGTAATGGTGAGCCGTAAGGAAAAGACAGGAAGTTAGCTTTGTATAAAACAAAATTTTATAAAGTATGGAAATCCTGTCAGGTAATTCTTTGCTTCGGTAAGAGGTATAAAGGTATACACACTCTCATTAGTGTACTGTCTAAAAATAATGTTCCTTTTTTTTTTTTTTTCCCCAGAGGTTGAGAGACATCAACAAGAAACACAAAAATTGGAAGGAAACAAGGAGAATGTACAGGATACCATAAGGAAGATTAATAAAAAGGATTTTCGGAGCTATGGTAAGAACAAAACTAGTCTTACTGTAGTGATTCACATTAAGAAATTCTCAGAGAAGTACCTAGAAAACTAGCAGATTTAAATAGTTTTAACATTGTTTTAATATTTTTTTTTAATGTTTGATAGTAATATTAGAATAGAGCAATAGAGTTCTGGGGATTTTTCCCTTAGGGGTGGCAGCCAATATTTTGCCATCCTTAACAAAATGGGAATTCCCACCTGAGGAAGGGCTTTTCATAAACAAGAAACTAAAACTGTTCTTTTTTTAATTGAAGTAAAGTTGATTACAGTATTGTGTTAGTTTCAGGTGGACAGCAAAGTGATTCAGTTACATATGTATATTTTTTTCAGATTATTTTCCATTATAGGCTATTATAAGATATATGAATAGGGCTTCCCTGGTGGCGCAGTGGTTAAGAGTCCGCCTGCCCATGCAGGGGACACGGGTTCGTGCCCCGGTCCGGGAAGATCCTGGAAGATCCCACATGCCACAGGGCGGCTGGGCCCGTGAGCCATGGCTGCTGAGCCTGCGCATCCGGAGCCTGTGCTCCGCAACGGGAGAGTCCACAACAGTGAGAGGCCCGCGTACCGCAAAAAAAAAAAAAAAAAGAATATAGTTCCCTGTTAAAGCTGTCTTTTCAATGAAAAAGAAACTATTAACTTCTCAAATGGCATTTTTACATTTTGACTGTTTAGGAAAAAATGGCCTATCTACAGGTAGGTAGTAGATACTTTTGAGATGGTAGAAGAATATACTGATAGTTCATTTCTAAATCACATCAGTAGCTATAGCAAAAAACATATAAACTTAGATTTTACCTTTTAACAAAGATGTTGTTACCTTCAAATTTCTTCTTAAGAAATTAAAGAAAAAGTATTTCCAGTAGATTTCAACAGCTGAAAGTTTAAAGGACTTAGGCAAAAGAAACTCACCACAGGCCAGTAAAATCTGACAGCGTATCTGCCTTTTTTCAGTTTACCACAGGCTTTACTTCTGACTCACATTCTAATTTTGTCTTTTATTTTCTGTTTCTCTGATAGGCTCCATCTTTCTTGGCTTCCTGGTTCTGATTCTTGTTTTGCTAAGTTCTGTTAGTAGCTATTATTCCTGTCCGGCCCAGCAAGTGCCCAAAAATCCAGCTTTGGAGGCCTTCTTGGTTCATTTCAGCCATTTGAAGGATAAATTTCCAGGCCAGAGTTCCTTTCTGTGGCAGAGAGGACGTAAGTTTCTCCAGAAGCACCTCAATGCTTCACACCCCACTGAGCCAGCCACCATCATATTTACAGCAGCTCAAGAGGGAAGAGAGACCCTGAAGTGCCTCAGCCACCACGTTGCGGATGCCTACACATCTGCCCAGAAAGTCTCTGCCATTCAGATTGATGGAGCTGGAAAAACCTTTCAGGACAGTGATAAGGTCAAGGAGTCAGTTGACAAGAAGCTGAGCTCTGGATTTGAGAAGGGCCAGAAGGCTGCTGTGGTCCACCGCTTTGAATCCCTTCCTGCAGGCTCCACCTTGATCTTCTACAAGTATTGTGACCATGAGAACGCTGCCTTTAAAGATGTGGCCCTGGTCCTGACCATCCTACTGGAGGAGGAAACATTAGAAGCAAGTGTCAGCCCAAGGGAAACTGAAGAGAAAGTGCGAGATTTACTTTGGGCGAGGTTTACCAACTCTAACACTCCCAGCTCCTTCCGCCACATGGATTCAGACAAACTGAGTGGACTGTGGAGCCGTATTTCCCACCTGGTGCTGCCTGTCCAGCCAGTGAGGAGCATAGAAGAACAGGGCTGCTTTCTATAAGCTAAGCACAGAGTTGGTTATGTTCAGCATGGGTTTATTAAAAAGTCAGTTTAAAAGCCTTCCATTTATATGGAAGGAGGTTGACGAATGTGAGGAAATAGCCTGGAAAGCACAAATTAGCTTATTTGAGAAAAGAAATTTTCATTTTTTACTTTTTGTAAAATCTTTCTAATCTAAGCTTGACAAAGCTAAAAGTTGACCTGACTTTTTTTCCTTGCCTTTTGGATAGTATTTGGACTCAGATTAAAGCAATTACAATTATAAAACTGAAAATTAAAAAAAAATTTCTATCACATGTTAAATATTTTTAAAATTCATTTTAATAACCTAGTTGTGGGATTACATCTTATGCTTTTTTGCACTTTTGAATAGTATGAAAAAGGAAATAAGAATTCAAATACTTATTTACCTAAATACTATATGTAAGGCACTGTGTTTTTGTTCCGTTAATGAGCTCTGAGGGAAAAGCAGCTGTGCTCAAGAAGTGTTCTTAAAAATTGAAAACAATGGAGGAATTGTTTATAATCACTGCAAATGAAGAAATTCCAATTGGCTGTGTCTTCGCTTCAATTTTCTTGAATGATTTACAGCAGTGGTTTTCAGGCTGTCTACTGGCACCCCTCCCCTTTGTATCAAAGAAGTTCTTCTTTTTCCCATTTTATATATTGGGCTCCCCCCGTAAGATTTAATTGGATTTAATTGGAATAAAGAGTTCCACTAATAATGAAGTTTGAAAATCACTGATTAAGTGAAAAAGCATCTTGGAAGATAGGAAAAAAATGAAAATATTAAAACTCATGAGTAGGTTGAAAATAAAATACAGGTTTATCAAGAGACATGCTATTTATGAAGAATGAAGACTTACAGATGAATAGCAGAATGTATAAACTAGTATTTACTAGCATATTTCTATGCTTTTGGTTAATCTCTGTTATCATTTCTGTCTCCCCTGAATGGAATTTTATAATTGTCTACAATGAGAGTTTGAGTGCTTTAAGCAGAACAGATTTTAATAACCAGTTGAATCATAGATTTTTATATAGGTACATTAGCATAACTTTACCATACTGTTTACTTATTATACAGTGATGGAACGTTTATCTAATGCAGTTCATTTCTTGGCCAGCTAGTTAGAAGTATGATTAGGTTAACAATTAGAAAAATGCAAGAGATGCTATACTTAGTGAGAGGAAGTGGAAATGGTAGATAGATTCTAAGAGGTTTTAACAGCTAGTATTAATTGTTGGACCATGTTCTGTGATTGTAAGAAAGCTTGAGAAAGATGTTTATGGAGACAGTGATTGTTGATTTGCATCTCAACCCCGAAGGCAGAACTTTAGTAAAATGATCTTGACCTAATGAAGGATTTGTCCCATTACATGGCATACCTAGGAACTATCACCATGAACCTGGAATATTTCAGTTAGGTTTTGGCCTCTGAAGTCATGTGACTAAATTATGGAAGGATTTTCGGAAACAGTAAGAAGATATAGGGGTCTTTGTTGATGCCTAAACAGAGAGCATAAAGACATGGGGGGAAGAATCTATTTGAAAGTGTTTGTCACAGGAAAAACAGATATGTTCTAACCAAGACCTGACATTGTGCTCAATTGAACGTAAGGCCGTACCTAAAGGAACTGTTTTCATTTGGGACTTTGTGAAGGACTCTTCCGCTAGATTTGAGGAGAGACCTTCCTGAACAAAAAGTTAAAGCATAGTGAATATAATATCAATCCAATTTAAAATCAGTGGAAATTGAAGAAAAATCTATATGCCATATTCAATATTTTTTGATATTTCTGGATCTCAGATGCTAGCATTACATCACACAAAACCATTGGTGCCTTGTAGAACTGGTGCCTGCTGACCTGTGCTACCTCAGATTTATAAAGAACCAGTATGAAGTGTGCACATCTAATCTGTCAGTGACTCAGATCACAGCTGAGATAAAGATGGTTTCGTCATTCAGTTGAATATGGTTTTTCATCATTTCCTTTCAGTATAATTTAGAAAATATTTCCAAATGTCACAATTTTTTTTTTACTGTTCAGCCTTTGTTAAAAAAACATGTCTCCTTCCATGTATAAGTGCAATCAACTGAAACTGTTGTCAGTTTTCTGTCCACTATTTCAAAAATCATTTTTAAAAGAAGCAGTATATTAGCTCTGTGTCCTCATGAATAAAATGATTATTCTTAAAGCATAAAACTTTATATTTTTTAAATGTACAAATAAAATCTATTATCTAATGTACCCTTAGGTTAATTTCTATTCAATTGTACCTATTTTTTTTACATTTTTCAAGTTTCTAAATTTTCTTTTGTGTGTCTAGTAGTTCATCTTTCATTACTATAATAGATAGTTTGCTTGTTTGACTTAGAACAATGACTTGTGGGCATTTGATACGATATATGATACCCAAACATCACCATTTAATTATTATCATAGAACAACTCTAATTATGTTATATATTAATATAAATCACTTCTTGAGTGATACCAGAGTTCTAGAACCAACTGGTAGAATTATAAACTGTCTCTCGACTTGAGTTTTTTCCCCTGTGGGGTAAATTTTAGGTTTCCCAGTTAGCTACCAAGCAATGCTGTTGTTTCTACTTCTAATTTTTAAATCAATAAAGTAATTTAAATATATTTCATTTGAAAGCTGCCAAGCTTATGTGGTAAGGTTCAGCAGGCCTGTGACCCACCATCCTCCAGGTAATGACACAGCTGAACAGTGTTAGCAGCTGAGGTGGTTTTGACCCTTTCACAGTTTTTGTTTGTTTTATACAGGAAACATAAGGAGCATTGATGATAAAATATAACAAATTCAGCATGTAAAAGTGATACTAATTCAGCAAGATGATCTTCTCTGGGACTATATTTGCATACATCTGACCAGTTTCTATGCAGCATAGTCAGGTGTCTAGTACTTCAAAAAGTAATGTTAAGCAGAAGATATAATCATTATAGCTGATTATCATTTATTGGGAATAAAGCTTATATCCATACACAGTTTATTTGTAGAGAAGTACTTTCAAATAGGAACATGATACCTTTTTTCTTTTATCATCTGAAAATAAAATCTAACAATTATAAAAATAAACCAACACATCTTTGTAAAGCCCTCAATATGTCATTTTATAAAAGCAGTTTTAGTCTGCTTTTCATGTTGAATGTATGGTTAAATATTAATCTTTAATATTTTGTCCACCAATCTGAGCATAATATATTTCATTTTGAAATTTGTTGAAAAGTTAGTGGTTCTGTTTTCTCTTGTTTTTGTTTTTTTCAAAAATTAAAGTACCTTTAACACTATCACTTGTTCAATGGGAATGTTGATGTTTGTCTTTATATATGTATTGTGAATATTAATGATTATGAATCACTATCATAATCCATAGAAATATGATGAAATGATTATTCTAAAATATTTCTAAGGGTATCTATGAGATTATGAAATACTGAGGCTTATGAGTCACGTGGGAAATACTTGCTATGAATAATATATTTGCAAAGAAGGTGTTACCAATTCTAGAGAGAACTAAAGATATCTGTGTAAAACAGTTTTTCCAGATGACTTTAAAATATGCCTTATTCCTATTATGTTAAGTTTTAGGTATTAGGTTGTAAAGTAGCTGATGATGTGGGCCTAAATTTGCCTCATTCAGACTGAGACTGGGCTACTGAAGCTCACTTCCAACTAATACACGGCCCTATCAGTTCTGTATATGGCAGTGCTTCTCGATCTGTTTTTAAAAATATACAAACTAGTTAAGAGCACTAGCCTTATCCAAAGGGCCTGAGAACACAACCAGTATCCCCTAATCTGTAAATAATTGGTAAAGATATAAATAATTCAGTTTTCAATGCCTTTCCTTCCAGGATTATATGCTGTGTTTACTTCAGCTTGTTTTGATGTCTTTAAAAATCCATAGATTGGTTCCTATACTGGGAAATGATCTCCCACTTTTCCTCATTGAGGCTTCATAAACTAACTTTGCCCTTGGCTAAGAGCAGTTACCTGAACCAAAAAGAATATTTTTGGACTTGGGAAGCAGTGGGCTCAGTAGGTAGGGTAGAGCTGGCAAGAAGATGTGAAGGCCCGCGGCAGTTCCAGCCTTCCTTCTCCCTGTGCCCGCACTAGCCTCAGCCTTCTCAGCCCAAAGCGCCAGGCAGCTGCTTCTGGTTGAGCGGATTACAGGAGATTTAAATCTGTTTGCCATCCCTGTCATAAAAGAAACGGCACATTAACTTTCAAACAACTGCAATTTGCTTTTTTTTTTTAACCTAACAAAAAGAAACGGGCTTTGCCAGTATTAATGTCAGAATTGTTGGCATCCCCCTTCTTCCTTATGTAACCATGATTGTGTTTGCATTTGTTTCTTATAGATGTTGAAGAAAGTGCCTTATTCAAATTAGTTGTGTGGTTTTACGAAAAATAAATCTCCTTAATTTTTCTCCGTTGACTCATTCTTGATTATAGTTCCCCAAGTAGCAAGTTTATAGAAATGGGCATATGGTCATTAATGATGGGGAAGGAAACTGCCCTCCTTTGGTAACAAGTTCAAGAGCTAAAGAATCCTGTGAGTGTCAGGAGGCACCAGGCCATCAGTTGCAGGCCTCATTTAGCATTCTTCCTTTGCTCTTTCTACTTAACGAGGTTTTCTTCAGTAGGAGAGAGGGAGGGCTTGTAAGTAGAGCTCTGGGAATTGCTCCTAACCTAGGTGTGCTGATTGGGAATGTGTTAATCTTAAGAGTGGACATTTTTCAGTTGTGTGTCGGGGGTGGGAGAGGACAGTGTATTAAGAATTTCTGCCGTAAAATGTTGTCAAACCAGAGTTAGAGCGCAGAAGCACCTGAATACCCATCTCAGCCCCTCACCCACCCTTCTCCCAGCTTTCTGTCCCCACTGTTTGTACCCCACTAAAAACAACAGACCTATCGACATTTTATTGAACAATTTTCCACCAAATCTGAATTCAGTTTTGAAAATCTGATTTATTCCTGCAGTTTAGAAAAACAGGAACTCTTGGGAGTCAGCATGTCTTAAGTAAGAGCTTTCAGTGGAATGGGCTAAAGTCAAAGGACAAGATGAGCCTGAAGGCAAAGAACATA